TCAAACTTCGTCGTTCGTTGCTGATATTTTGTCATCATTGATAATCAATTGAATAATTAAATGAGTATTATTTAGATACTCACCCTCTTTCATATTGCCGACGGGCAACGGCTTGATAGATACGATAGGTGTTGATAACAAATAAAATATAAGGGTATACCGATCAAGCGAATGATTGACCTTTGCCATGTAATAGGCTATATGGATTGTTATCTCTGTTATATCATACATTTATTCAAATCGTATTACAAAAACTCATGATTAGGATACTATATACATCTAGCTATCTATAATTAATTATAGGACATAGATAGTTTAGACTAAAGACACTTGATACATCTTTAGATACCATATAAATTAATAAGTGCATGAGTACGTAATATTGGTAAAATATATTTTGTAAATAATATATAAATTATTGTTTTATATTATTAGGCATTAGCAAATTGTGTTTGATAGAAAATATAAAATTTCTGATAATATTATCACAAAAATAGAAAATACGTAAAAATAAAGAAAATGTGCAAATTATTTTGTTAGAAATTCATAACAATTTTCTTTTAAATCTAAAATCTAAAAATTTAAAATTTAGTACAAGATTCTTCATAAGATTTGTCTAGTTTTATGAAATAATATCTGCCAAGGAAGTAGAATTTAATTTTATGGGTTTAAATTCAGATTTTAAACGATGGATTTCCTCGATTTATCATGCGATTTTCTATGTATGCTGAATTAAAAACGAACATCTTTGGTAGATACTTTAATAATTTATCTATATCTCCTTGTATCTTCCTACTATGATACTGATCCTGAAATTTTCACTTTTCTGAGCTGTTTACGGACTTTTCAATTTTTCTATAATTGTTGATAAATTAGTAATTATAAATTTGTTGGGTTAAAAGCGTGAAAATTTAATTCAGGTTCTCACATATTATTGTTACAATAACAGTTGAAAATATTAAAAATCAACATTGCCCATGATTTTTATAAGTTTTATGTTGATTGTTGAAAAATGTCAAATTTCAGTATTTTCTATGTACAAAATATATATTTATTATAATATATCATGACTGCAACTCTTCGTCTTCATTGGATTCGTTTTCTTATAGCAATACTGAATTCAATTTAACATAATCGAGTAAGTATGTTCAGTGCTCACCGTAACCTAAAGTAACAGAGCAACACCCTAGCTACTGCTTTTGCTAAGCGTTAACTAATTTAAATTTAAAAATTCATGCTTGAATATCAATACGCTGTTCACATGGAACAATGTCTATAATTGAAAAATTGATGTTATAATCTGTACGTTTTCGCTGATGTGTGACAATTTTACAATATAATATTATGTAGGTTCCATTTTGCGCCAAATACGATAATAGAATACCATTTATAACATCGAAAAATAAATAATATTATTCATTGACAAAATTACTATTTTCGTATGACGTATTTGGTTATTTATAACCCGTGCGCGGCTCGATAAATAACGGTTTGATCTTTTGATGCGGTATAGCTTATGCAAGCGGGGTGGTGGAAGAAGTACTATTTCAGAACGCTGTCGCTATAATCGTTTAGCAGCATGACGACAGCAAATTCATAATTTTTGCCAAACATGCTTTCTAGCCAATAGTACTCGGCCTGGTTGATCAGAAACATGATTTTGGTATCAAAATAATCACGAAGTTGTGTACTAAATATTCTTGGAACAGATTTCGATATCTAAATTTGCCAATTTTATATAATTTTTAAAAATGAAAATTTACAAACTTCAAACACAAATAAATTGGTTGAAAATATTTTAGATTCTGTTCCAGAATATTTAGTACAACTCGTGACCATGATCAAAATCATGTTTCTGATCAACAGACCTAGTATTAAATACTTTATATTCGACCCTTTTCTACTGTGACGCCCTTAACTGATTAAAAATAATAATACGAGTAATATAAGTATATAACACAAAATAATATAATAAACAATAATTCTTACGTGATTCCTTATCCATGATATGTTTTAGTTGTATAAAAATAATGGTAATTAAACGATGATATGAAAATGTGAAGTGGAATTATTTTAACACGATAGAAAATGAGCTACAATTAACGGACGACTGATGAAGGCGAAGTGAAATATATGTTTCATGTATTTTCTCGAGTTTTATATTTTATTTTATTTTTAAAGAATACTTCGGAAATATAGACGATCCATATTCTACGATTTTTATTGAATTATATTTTATTTTAAAATAATACATTGATATTTATTTCGAACTAACATAGTTTTATAATTAAATAATCAAACTATTGTAATGATATGCTTCAAGCAATCATAATTAAATATTTATATAATAAAATAAATAATTATGACCTTTAGCTATAAGTTATTTATTAACCCGCCATGAGTCGCACCATTGTATGTAACACATGTGGTCGCACAAGGTCTTTGACCGTTCACTTAATAAGAGAAACCCCCTCCTCACCCCTTGTATTTAATGTAAGTATTGCATAATACATAACACCTAAAAATAATCAATCATAAACACGTGCACAAATAATAAATGTATACGTGGGTAATTCCAAGGACAATGTGCAGCAGAAGCAGGCGACGACGATGTTTTTATCGTTTAATTATTAAATAAATAAATGCTGATGTAACACATTTAATTGGCATTTTGATATAAAAAGGCGTTAGGAACGCGTATTGAATCAGTATTGTACTACTAACATAACCAGTAAGACCTACCAAAGGCTGACTTACAGTTATTGTAATTATATTATTATACAACAAACTGTTAACGAATGTGTTAGTAAACAACCATTGACCACTAGTATATTGGTGGGAGGCTTACGGACAAAACAACATTTTGAAACGTTGGCTAAAAACGCTACACAGCCATTTAGTCAACAACGAGCCGTATACCCACGACCACTTGGATCTGATGAACAAGCCAAGCCGTTAATACCGTGGTTTACCGAAACGCATTCACGCCGAATAGCAAGTATCGGTAAGCATGCCTTTTCGATATTTGGGTTCCCCACCGCCGTTTCGTGAAAACTGACAACGTTTAAATAGTTCACAAAAACGTTACGCAATCGAACAGCACAACAAAGCACGTGCTCGTCGTAATTTACCACCATATGTTTTAGGTGAAACACCTGAGCTGGACGCGAATCACGCATCAACCGCGGGTAGCAGTGAAACTGGCTCTCACATTATCCGAATCGGATCGAACCCAGGCGATTGGGATCCATAGTACAGCGACAGTGACCTTGATTGGGATTATAACGACAGTATCACTTATAACGTTAGGCCTGATAGTGAAGTGGTTACTCCGTCGCCTGTATCTATGGCCTCTGTATCTAGTACGAATAATGCTGAGCCATCCACCTCCGGTTCAGCAGCAAAGAAACGAAAGACGGAATTACCCGGTACATCTAATGAAAACGCTAATGATGCAGATACTGGGTATCCTAGTACTGAAAATGCTATCGTTCATCGGCCGCTCAATCATACAACCGGAAACCGATTCGTATTTGCAAAACATCATACACTCGTCAGTTACGGTGTTGCGAACATACAGTTACAATTGGATCAAGAATCTTATTCACGAGTTGGATCAACTTCTTTAATGTACTTACCTGTGGATCGTCCTTGGTTTTATTTATCACCAAGCGAATATTTAAACATATTAGCAAAAATACGTGGAGTTCGTGTAACCGAGGTAAAAGTACGTGTTACTATGCGTAATCCTCGTACTGCTTTTGAAACAAACAGTTCTACCTCGCAGTTGGCAACATTAAATCAAAATAAATTTGCTTTGGTTGGTAAAGGATTGACTAACATCACGCGCGGTATAAATTGTCATTTGGAATTTAATGCAAGTAACGTTATGAAACCTAAAACGGCATCAAGTATTTCGTATGCCCATCAAATGGCTATTGTAGCCGCTATGTACGGTACGAAATCCGACGACATAACATCAGTGAATTGGGATGATGGTTCAACTCTACCCAGTAGTTTTATGGACTTACCTATGATGATGCCATTATATTTTTGTCATTATGCAAACAAGGAACGTAATTCAGGTAATTTGGGTTGGCAAAATATTCAACGTCATATACACAAAGTTGATGCTAGTTCGTTAATTGGAAAAACAATAGTTGAATATTCGTATTCACCTAAACACGGATTATTGACTTGTCCATGGACGTCAGTGTGGGGAGGTCGTCATAAAGGAAATTATCGTCATTCCGATAAAGCCAAACTAAGTTTATATGAAATGGATCAGCGTAAAATAGCAAACGATTACATGATGGATATTGATACTGGTGTTAAAACCGATATTGAACTCGACGTTGAAGCCGTTACTGAAAGTACTTGGAAACGGTATTATTCAAACGATAAGGAAAGGTATTTTTCTGTAATCGAAGTTGGTCAATATATTCAAAAAGGTATTGGTAATTTTGGACCTTGCACTTTACAACCTTCAGTTCACATTGGTATATCACCTGTTCCACAATTAACAACTGTTAACACTGCGTTAGTACCTGATCACTATACTGATGTCGAATGTACTTGGGACGTGGACGTTGAAATGCATGTCGATTACGGAATCCCATATCATTATACACATTTTCAAACGCCACACGTCGAATTGGAAGATACATATATGTGTATGGAAAATGAGAATACAGGCATTACCGGATTAGAATCAATGAGTTCGTTCCAAAACAAACATTTGGGTTTGAAACACGATTCGTCGAAAGCAACAACTAGCAACACTACACAAGAAACTGTTGCTAACAGTAACTTATAGCGATCACAGCAACTTGTAACTAAACGTAATAGTAATAATGGTAAAGGTTTAAAAAAATTAATAAAATTTTTAACTCCATTTGTTAATGATTAAATAATATAATATATATTTTGATTATAGTATTACATAAATGTGTTTGCTTATTACTAGGGCCAACAATTATATGCCCTAAAAATCTATAAAATATGTATGCAGTTTTGCCCTAAAAATTACCAAAATATGCCCTTAAAATATGCTCTAAAAAAATGTTATTGTAAAAAAATGATTAAATGATTTATTTTTTTTATGTATTATACAATTTATACTATAATAATACAATATTATTATTTATTGCCAATGAATAATGATTTACAAAAATGTGTGATATTAAAAAATATTTAAAATTAAAAAACAAAAACATTAATCAGATGATAAACATTTTAATTTTTACCCGATGTTATTACATTGAACAATTAATGATTTGTATAAGTTTTCAAACAGCATTGAGCGTCGATTGTCCGTTAACAAATTTTTGTAGCGTGAAAAAGAACGTTCTACATCAACGGATGTAATAGGTGCGTATTTATAATGTAACAAATCGTTGCTGGTCAAATTTTCTGGAATACCTTCTAATGTGGATACTTCACCGGATAATACTTAAGAAATTTTCGTAAGAATATGAAAACCATTATTTTTTTTAAAAACATCTTCACATTTTTTATTAATATCAGTGCCATTTGTACCACTAACTTCACATATTTTACTTCGCGCAGTTTCTATTAATTTAATTGAGTCAGCTAGTAAAACATTCTGGCTTTCTAAAGATGTTATGGTAGTTGGTAAAAATCCATAGTTTGAATAAATAAAAGTTAAATTTGCTTCAACTTGATCTTGAGAAATTAATTTTTGAACTTTGTCTATTGAAACGGCGTCTTCAGGGTTCAATTTCTGTTTTACATTTCTAATAGCTTCTATATGTTCGCAATAATACATTGAAGCAGAAATCCATGTACCCCATCTTGTTAATATAGGCGTTGGAGGCAATGGTATACCTGGAGCCTCAGTTTTAAACAAATCAATACGACTTGGCGCTTTTAAAAATATTTTTTTTGTGTTTGAGACAAGTTCGTCAATTTTTGGAAATTGACCACGAATTTGTTCTGCCACCCGGTGTAGCCCATGGACCACACAAGTAACGTGGACCATTTTTGGATAAAAAGCTTGTAAACAATTAGCTGCCTTGACCATATAAGGAGCGGCATCGCTCAAAAACAAAAGTACATCAGGATGTCGGATTCCATTAGGCCATAATGTAAAAAGAGCTTTATCAACAATTTGACATATTGTAAAGTGGTTGGTTTTTCGAGAATACCGGAAAAAATTAAAAATATTTTACCTGGTTCATCGGCATTTAAAATACCAATAATTACGTTTGCAATATAACGAGATTGTACGTCAGTAGTTTCGTCGATCGAAATCCAGATTTTCTTATCAAGCACTTCTTTTCGTATGGCGTCCATTGTCTCATTATAGCACTCATTGACATAGGTACTTCTTAATAAAGATACTGATGGAATATCTTTATACGTATACTTTTCCAGAAACGAACGAAAATAGGTATTTTGTAATTTATTTAATGGTATATTGGCTGCTAATAACGTTTTGCACAAATCTTTATTGAAAGAATTAATTTTTGATGTAGTAGGTAAAAGTTGTTGAGTCTTTTGTTGTTGGTCGCCGAGTCGTTGAATACCACGTGAGTGCTTAGACGTTTTAAGATGTTGTAAAACTGTAAATCGTTTTTCACATGTAACCTTTGCCTCACATATTTTACAAAACAATATATTCCCATCCGAAGAAAATATATTTTCTCCAAATTCAGAGATGTAACTATTGATACGACTAGTGTTGGAAGTTCTCACTTTCGGCATTTTAAAACGGTCGATTTAATAACGCACCACACGAGTATAAAGACCGACTGACGACTGTAATAGGTGCGATAAAATATAATATGATATTTATCTGAGATAAATTATCTCTATGCGATACTGTTACCGATATACGGACATATAATTGTTGACCCTAATAATTAGCGATTAAGATTAGATAACCACTTTTCATAAATGAGCTGAAATATCAATAATAAGGTATATGAGTGAAACAAATTAATATTTTGTAATTCCCGAGTTTTTAAGATCTTAAATCCAAAAATATACTCCAAAAATATACTAAATGCTAAAATATGCCCTAAAAATGCAAAAATATGCGAAATAAAATTTTGTATACAGCATCGTTAGGTTATAAAACAAATTTTGGTATTAACTAGCTATTTTTTGACCAACCAATAAAAATATGCAAATGCATACAAGTGTTGGCCTTACTTATTACTAGTATTAATATTCTATTTCAGCGGTTCTTAACCTGTGGTCCGCGGCCCCCTGGGGGTCCGCAACACTCATATCGGGGGTCCGCGGCAACTTTACCACCTAACATAAGTCAATTTGTGACATGAGTGTATTATTCCAATATTTTTCGATTATTATTTTTATTTCATATAAAATTATAAAATATATCTTATATTGTAAGAGATAGGTAAACCTATCTTATCTTTATTACACCGATTACAATGTGGAATTCGATACAATTAAGTATCTAAACATTCTAAACCTAATAATTGTATTATTAATATTTATTTATCAGTTTCTTGTTCATAGAATTTTATAGGCATACAGCATTGAAGTCGACACTCGACAGTCGTATATTTACTACCAATAAGTGCAGTTGATCAGTTTTATACCTACATAATTTCAATTAATACGTGATTTTTTTTCAAATCATCTTAAAGACATTAGCCTTTTTAGTTTAAATGGAACGTTGGTTAAATTTAAAAAGGAAGAATTCTGACGTTGATGATGAAAAAACTCCGTGTACGAGTAAAGAAAAGTCAACAAAACTTTGTAAGTATGATAGTAATTATTTATCAATGGTTTTCACGTCCAACGGATCTGAAGAAGAACCAAAACTTCAATGTGTAGTATGTTTTGAGGTATTATCAAACGAGGCTTTAAAACCATCAAAACTAAAAAGACACCTCGAAACTAAGCATAAAGAACATGCCATGAAATCCATTGATTTTTTTAAAAATAAAGAGCAAGAATTGAGAAAAAATATGAAATTTATTAAAAAAACTGCAACTGATTGTACAAATGAAAGCGCCGTAAAAGCATCGTTCATAGTTTCTTTACTAATTGGGAAATCAGGGAAACCTCACACGATCGCTGAGGACTTGATATTACCTGCTGCGAAAGCTATGGTTTCTGAAATGATCGGCGAAGAAGCTGCAAATAGCTTAAATAAAATTGCATTGTCAAATGATACAATAAAAAAGCGAATTGATCGTTTATCAGGAAATATTAAAGAACAGTTGTTGAAAAGAATTAATAAAAGTGACTACTTTAGCCTCCAACTTGATGAAAGTACCGATATAACTAATAAATCAGTATTACTGTGTTATGTAAGATACGAATACGATAATGTCATTTCCGAAGACATTTTATTCGTAACCACTGTGGTACACACCACGGCAGAGGAAATATTTTGTAAAATTAATGAATTTATTATAGCGAATGAAATTGAATGGACTAAATGTGTAGGAGTTAGTACTGATGGGACTCGAGCAATGTCAGGAAAATTTACTGGATTAATTGCACGGATTAGAAATATCATACCATCAGTCACATGACATCATTGTTGCATTCATCGCGAAGCCATAGTTTCCAAAAAAATACCAATACATTTGAAAACAGTTTTGGACGATGCTGTAAAAATTGTGAACTTTATAAAAGCAAAATCATTGAATTCAAGAATTTTTGAACAACTTTGCAAAGACATGGATAGTGAACATTATCAACTTCTGTTGCATTCTGAAATTCGTTGGTTATCTCGAGGTAAAGTGCTCTCTCGTCTATTTGAATATTGAAAGATGAGGTAAGATTATTTTTTATCGAACATAAATTATTTTCGTTGAGTGAACGCGTGAATGATTATTCTTGGATATATTTACTCATTTAAACGCACTTAATTTAAGTCTTCAAGGAACACATATTACAATTTTTAAAGTTGAAGATAAGATTGAAGCGATGATTAAAAAGTTGGAACTGTGGAGTCTTCGGCTGTCAAAGAAGAATTACGATCCATTTCCAAATCTCAAAAATTTTATTGAATCAACTGAAGAAGAATTGTCAGATAAAGATTCTAAATATTTCATACAACACATGGGTGATATGCAACGTAGCTTCCGTGATTACTTTCCTGTTCCAGATATAAGTAGAAATTGGATTCGACAACCTTTTGAAATTGATATTCATCAAATAAATGGACTGACATCATTGGAAGAAGATAGCCTTGTAGAAATGTCTACAGATACTAGTTTAAAAATGCAGTTCAATCAAAAGTCATTGGAACATTTTTGGTTGCATGTTCGAAAGGATTATCCACAATTATCGAGTAAAGCTCTGAAAGTTTTGATTCCATTTCCCACAACTTATTTATGTGAAAAAGCATTCTCCGCCCTCGTTTATATTAAGAATAAGTTTCGAAACCGATTAGAAAACGTGGAATCTGAACTACGATTAAAGCTTTCGAGTATTGAGCCCGATGTTCAAAAACTAGTAACTGAAATGCAACATCAACCATCGCATTAAAACTTATTAATTAAGTAAATAAAAATTAAGTTTTAACCCTTTGAGGGCTGGTGACTCATTTTGTCATCATGTTTTTAAAGCCTTCACACAACAGTACCGAGGTGTCAAATATGATATTTGATTGTGCAATTCGATAGGGAATGTTATTTTCTTATATTGATCATACTGTTACAGTTGCCTCGTGATATATTTTATCAATAATAGTTGTTATTGTTATCATTTTCTATCGATCGATGTGATTCATCAAAACGTATTTTTCGAACATCAAATTCGGTAAGTTTTACTTATTTTAGAGCTTTAAAAAAAATATTTTTGAATTCTAAGTGTATTGATTAACATAATTTGTGCATTGGAACCTTGATATTATTCGTTAGAAACGAAACGTGTTAGATATTACATCATGATCCCAAAGAAGATCAGTGGGCTTATATGTAATTTATAATTTTTTTTATATACATACATAAAATCCCATTGATTTAGTTTGGCATCATGTATGTTTTTCGTTATTATACAAAGTTTTTTTGTATTCAATTTCAGTTTTTCATCAACATGTGTCACAAACGATTAACTGACGATGAAATTGCAAACTTTTTATTAGTTGGTGATTTGTCAGACATTGAGGAGCTGGATGAAGGGTATGAAGTTAATATAGATAATTTAGATGAAGTACTTGAATTAATGACAGAGGAAATAGAGGATATTCAAGAAATACAACCTCCTAATAACCCACCTTCCAGATGCACATGATCGTCAAGAACTAGTCTTTTTACAAGAAAATGAAAACGATAACGATCTCGAGTATGACTGGAGTAATATTCCTTTAGGAGACTCTAATTGGACTAATAACACTTGGACTACATCATACCCAACTTGCACTTCCTCATTACCAGACCCCCCTATAGAAAATCTATCTCCACTTCAATATTTTAAGTTTTTTGTAGATGACAATATACTTCAAAATTTTGTTGAACAAACCAATTACTATTCATGTCAAGTAACTGGATCTAGTATTAATACAAATATATCAGAAATGGAGCAGTATATAGGTATTCATTTTTACATGAGCATTGTAAAAATGCCAAGTTACAGAATGTTTTGGTCAAGACAAACTACATTTACTATGGTTTCTGATACCATGTCCCGCAACAGATTCGATAAATTGCGCACATATTTTCACTTGAACAACAATGATAATATTTTGCCCAGGAATAATGTTAACCATGATAAATTATTTAAAGTTCACCCATTTATTGAGGCTGTAAGAAATAACTTTAAAAAAATTAAAATCGAAGAATATAGTGCGATTGATGAAATTATAATACCATTCAAAGGTCGATCAAAACTAAAACAGTACAACAAAAATAAGCCTCATAAATGGGGCATTAAAATGTTTGCTATTGCATCAAAAAGTGGTATTGTTCATGATTTTGAGATATATGTGGGAAAAGGCACAATTCAAGAATCACATATGGGCAAGGGCGCCCATCTGTCAAAACCTAGGGGGGTGACAATCATAAAATAAACAACCAAAATTAAAAATCAAACAAATTTATTTTATTTAAATAATGAAACAAATATACGTTTACTATATTTGAATAAAAATAACATTTTAAAACATAAACTGTAAATTGCGTTTTGTCCCATCTGTTCATATACTATTAACAAATTACGTCGTGATGAACTTTATGCCTATGAACACGACATACACAGTCCATCCAACCTATTTCTCCCATAGTGTTTCTTGTCCAAGTTTTCTATCACCTCAATGCTGAAGACCTCAACCCAGGCATGTTGTAGGCGGAATTGTTAAAAGATGATAAGACATTTTACCTGGGAAAATCACATTCGTTTTTAAGAGAGAAATGATAAAGCTCTGTCCAGCTCTTTGAATTTATTTTATTTGATTTATTTCCAATAACTGTACCAAGCTGATCCGGCAAGTGCTTCAAACTTTCAGATTTGAAATAATTTTGGAACTTCTTCAAGTATAAGATTAAATGTTTTTTTGTCAATTTGGATCATTTCAGATGGAATAAATGTGCACCCAACTTGAATGGCGTTTCATTATGTTCACTGAAACGTGCTTCTAATGAATTTATGATTGAGTCCAAGTATGATATATAAAGATACTCTGTAGTATATGGAGTACATTCACTGTAATTAGCTCGATGAGTTTGACGATTAGCTCTTCTTGGTATATTAATATCAATATTAAACTTGTCTGCAACATTTTTATATTGTTATATATTTGTTGAAAATTGTTACTACTAGAATCCCTATGATTTTTTAATACATTAATGAGATCATTTTAACATATGAATGTACCTTGTAAATTAACAGGATACAGCCTGTAATTTGCTTACAACGGTCCATAATAGCAGCAGAATAAATGAAATTAGCAATAATGCAACTGAACGAAGCACACCA